AGTATTAGCAGTTTTAAGTCCCCTTAACATACCCTTAAACAATCACCTTTTCTTGATTTTCGCACACCTGCCCCTCACCCCGCCCAGTACTCCCAGTCAGTTTTTTGTGTTTGTGGTTATTGGCCATACTACTTCAGGAGGCCAAAATTGGGGGACTTTTGTCATACACTCATAAAACCAGAGCATGCTTATTACAGACGAGTAGCCTTCCTCTCCTCCCTCTGCAACCTTTTAGTGCTGTTTACAAAATAAATAAATAAAGAAGGCTCTGTTTTCCAGCTTGTGGTCCAGCTTTCCAACGTTAAATAACATGTGCCTGTGTGTGTCAACGCATACGCACACACTCTGGCCTCATCAGCCAGCAGGATTTTTAATTCCTGGGAGGGATCGCCATATGGAAGTGGATGGACAGTAAGCTGTTACTGCGCAGAGGAAGGAGGAATGATTCAGGGCCGTCTGCTGGATAGTTTTCAAAATGCTTTGGCAGTTTGACTCATTTATATACAGAGACTGAAAAAAAAAAATCGCAAAGAATGTCACTCTGCTAGAGGCGAGGATTTTGAGTTGTGCCAACACATCCATGAACATAGGGCTGAAGTGAGATGAAGTTGCAGCTCTTTTGTATTTGCTCCCTTGCTAGAAGCAGACCTTATGCATTGAGGCATGAAAGAACTTAAACAGAACAACCCATTATAGTCACTGTAATTTAAGAAATGCATCTTCTAACCTCTCTGGGGAAGGGACTGGTCATTATTTTGCAGCAGCACATAGCTCCAAGGGACTTTGACCTATCTGGCTTCCGAGTCCTCCTGCAACATAGATACCAAGTAATCTGGACAGCTTTGAGCAGGCTTTCTCTTTCCTCTGAACATATGTTAATCCTACTGCTTGATGAGGGATGTTTGCTTTTGGAAGAAGAGATCTGACTTTATTAAAAATTATAGTGATGCAGTTCATCTCTCATAGTGACCTTGAGATAGTTACTTCGGTGTGTTTGGATGTGCTGTGTAATGGAAGAGATTTTTTTATGTTCACAGCTGCTGTTGATTTCCCCCACCCATACAAAAAAGAAAAATACACTACGAGTTAAGGAATTTCTTAATCCCTAGCATAGCGTCCTTTTTTCTCTTGTGCTGGTGCAGTTTGTGGGGCTGCCTTCAGCGTCTCCCTAAGAAAAAACACAGTTTATATTTCATACTACTAACTATATCCTCCCTATTTCATATTCTCCACACCTGTATAACTTGAGAAAGTCTTAAATAGTTAAGTACAGAAGAGTAGTGCTCTCTTCTGTTATTACCTGGTTTTCTGAAACTCCAAGTGTTCAGAAGCTCCAGTTTGTTGCCAAGAAAATGTGTCTTCAGAGTAAAAGCCTGTGACAGCCTGATAGCTCAAAACTGTCTTCTTTGCCACTCTTCACACCTTCGGTACTGTTACAGTATTCCTTTTTTTTCTGGCTTTAATTGATAGTCAGCCAGCAAATACAACAGCGTATAAAAACAAGAGTGCAAAAAAAAGACAGCCACAAACCTACTGCTTGCAACACTTCCAAACCAAGGAACCTCTCCCTAATCCTTTTTATATACACCTGAATGAGAGATATTTAAGTTCACCTGGGACCACACTTAGGGTTTCAGCTGAGTCATCCTGCTCTGGCCATCTTCTCCGGGCTTTTGAGGACCAACTTGTAGCCAAACAATTAGTGCATAAGCACAACATTGTCAGGAAGCCCCAGATTTTGAAGTTTGTTCAAAGCTTAAATATTGTTCTTGCTAATGCACTGATGTTCTCATATCCAGGTTTTATTTAATTTGCACAATGTCGGGGTCGTGCAATTTAAGTTTACATAGCTAGTCTTGTAATGGAGAGCAAGTTTTAGCTGCTTCAAAAATTTTCCAAGGGAACTCTTTAGAAGAAAAGCCAGCAAGAATAATTTTTGGTCCCATTTGAAAAGCACAGAAACTGAGTGCACGTATTCTGCTCATGTCACACCTGTGTTAGCTGAATTTTAGCAAAGGCCTTGCTTGAACCCACAGGGTGCAACTCTACAACAGCTCACAGTGATCTCAGTGCAACTTCAGTTCCCACATCCCTGTCTGGGTCTTCCCGCTTTGTTCCTTGCAACAGCGCTAATACACATCTGATTTGGGGGTTAACTGATTCAGGGAACTCGGTGTGTCTCCCTGAAGACTAAGCAAAAATAGGCTGGGATTTTTGGACACTGGTTTAGTTCCAGGACAAGCAGAGGAGGAGATGGGAACGATAGGAGTTGGGAACCCAGGAAGAATTCATGTTTGCTTCAAAAAAATACATGTGGTGGCTTTCAAGTCTTGCTTGCATTTGATTTAGGTTTGTTTTCCCTTTTCTGTAACTGTGGAAATTACACTGATGCTAGTTTGACTCACGACTATTTCAAAATAATATTAAAGTGACTAATATCTGAAAAATGTGCGTGTTGTTTGACTCGCGGTTCAGGGCTCATTTCATTGGAGGGCCTCTGACTGCTGCAAATTGCTTTAAATTGGCAGAGCACTTCTCATAATGAGCAATACTTCAACATAATTTAATTGGGTTCCCTGCCAAGGAGGAAACTGTAATCCCAAAGCTTTTTGATGGTGTCACCCGGTCAGTGGTCATCTCTTGGCTTGGGGTTCAGGTATGGATGAGTATGGGATGACTCAGATGGTCTAACCACCACGGTGCTGAAGACTTTATCACCAGGATCTGGGATATTTGTCTGACTTCTCCCCTGTTGCGAGGAGTGAAGCTGCTGGGGTCTGGCAGTGGGAACGGCAAGCCCTGCTTTCCAGGGAGGCTGCTCGGCAGCTGGAGGAGACCTCTGCTGCTCTGAGACTTCGAACCATCGTGCCTGTGACAGCAAGGACCCCTGGCTAGACTGAGCCTTCCTGAGCTGTTAGACATCTGTCTGGCTTGCGATGAAACGGCAAGCAGCAATACAGATAATTTCCCGCTTGCTTTTTTAGCTGGAAATGCACCTTGAGAAGCCCATGGGAAGCAACCATGGCCAAAGCTTTTGCCAGCAATATGCAGGGCAGGGGGGAGTCTCAGTATGCAGAAACTGAAATTTAAAATCTGCCTGGGTCTGATACTACTATAATATGTGAAGACCTGGTAAGCACAGCATGTTTTACAGAGATCTCACCCAAATGCTGATGCTGGCCATTGGACAGCAAAGTCTGCAATGTCTGAGGTCCAGATGTGGTAGAAGTATGGATGGTTTTAAGATTAGACAGATTCAAAAGCAAAATGAAGACCCATCCTGGGTCAGTTCAAATGTTTGATGATTAAGACTGGAAGATCTCAAAAACTTTTATTGTGTCAGGAAGAATCGGTTCCAATTTTGGGGTTCTGAAACCAGGATCGAAGGATTTCAGGTCTAATCCTGTGACCTTAAGTAATCTATTTCATTCATCGCCTCAAACTGAATTGCTGTGGCTGAGCAGCGTGCGTGCAGAATCCTCTTACCCTGTAGCTTTCCTCGCCGTATGACTTCACCTGTAAATAGAAGTCAGCTATAATTAGATGTGGAGCTTGCATCTGCCCTGCGATTGCAACAGGGAGCCTTAATTCAACGTGAATGGAATTTCCTTGGACATTCGTCAGGGAAGGAAGCACCAGACCTGTAACTGAGACCCTTTGCAGGGGACAGCCCTGACGACTCCTCCTCCTGTGCAATACCACAACACTGTTTTAGCTATCTGCATCAGTTGGAAAAAAAATGCAGTACATTAAGCTTGTAAAGGGGACGTGTGATCTTTGTTTAGTTGGACTAGCTGAAAAAAACAGCTCTGAACTAGTTTCCCCAAATTCTTCATAGTTTTCTGTCTTGTCAGTTCGGCAAACCCCATGAGTTATAGTTGTTTCAAGAGCTTCTCAGCTATTGCAGCCAGTTGTAATAGAGACATATGTATGAGGGAAAAAATGCATCCTGTAAACCAGCTGCTTTGGGATTTGTATAAAATTAAGGTTTGTGTGTTTTGTGTGTCTGCGAAGGAAAAGGCCAGTGAACAGCAAATTCAGCTAACCTTATGTTTTTAAACCAAACAGCCTCTTTACCCCCTGAGTCTTTCTCAGCACAGTGATATCTGGGGAGGTGTAGAGGGAAACTTCTGCCTGTGTCACCTGGAACGTGTATGGTTTTTGAATGGGACATCAGAGCTCCTTTCTGACAAGAATCTGGAAAAGTAGATCAGTTGAATTTGTATGTGTGCAAGCTCACTCTTAAGACATGAGTGCACCTCATTAATTAAAGTTTTGGACTGTGCTGAAGCCCTATATGCATAAGAACAGCTAATGAGAATTTTACCTGAGCTCATTTTATGTCTCTTAGGCCATTAGGATTAAAAAGGTCTTGACTGATACTGAGCGTGAAAGCGCACAAAACAGAGAGCCTAGATAGCTAATAGAAAAATTGAGTTAATTTCCCTTCAGACTGTGATTTCAAGTCTTGTACAAGTGGAGTGCAAAAGGAGGACTCCATGTATTGAAAATAATATCTTGTGAAAGCAATGAGAAGAGCCTTCCCTTCAATTGTTGCTTCCCTGGGAAAACTACAGGAGGGAGCAATCCGTGTGCTTTCGCTGTGAATAGCGAAATGCTGTCATCTTGTCTGCAGGTTCTGCACACAGCAAATAACTCAGCGGTGACGTAGGTTGTGCTTCAGTCTGGGGGATAAACTAGGAAATCCAGAAAGTCTGCATCGGGGCAGTACAAGGTAGCACTGCAGATAACTGCAGAAAACCAAACTTTGTAGGAAGAAACACCCTTTTCTGTTATGGGCCTCTATTCTGCAAAGGTCTGAGCACCTGCTTAACTCCATGTGCTGGGAGCAGTTGGGCTGACGTCAACATAGTATTTATTGTACATAAACTCCAGGGCATATGTTTTTGCAGAGTGCCACTGGGGAAGGTAATCTGGCAGGCTAGAAATGAGGAAATGTTGCTGAGTGGCAGAAGGTAATGGTTGTGATGGTCTTTCAGACTTACAGGGATGCCAAAGGAAAAATATGATCCTCCAGATCCTCGCAGAATTTACACCATCATGTCAGCAGAAGAGGTAGCCAACGGGAAGAAGTCACACTGGGCTGAATTAGAGATCTCGGGTGAGTTGACTTGGTTTTGAATTTTGGTTTGTTGGTGAAGTTGGTGCCCCAGAATCACACCAGACTCTTTCAGTTAGGGGGATCCTGTTGGGAAGACAGTTTTTCTGAGTTGGGGGAAGAGGAGTAATTGATTTATCAGATTGCCTTTGAGCTTGGCTGGCTTATATTCAGCCCAGTTGATTTAAAACACCAACTCAGGATGTGAGTTTTCGGGTAGCACATCTGCTTCACTAGAACTGCACCTTGGTCTCTAACTCAGAGGGTTAAATAATTATTTAAAATCTGCTTGTGGGAAAGATACCCAGAGGTATCTTCTGCAAGAGTCACTGAGTGTTCTAGTGAAATGGTAGGGTTTCCACCCTGGATATCCCATAATGGGAAATCCCTCATAGTTTGTATCTGATGGTTTGAGACTGCAAATCTGACTGAAGAGGTGGTCCTTTGTTTTTCTTTTTTAGGTAGAGTACGGAGCTTAAGTACATCACTTTGGTCACTGACACACTTGACTGCTCTGCACCTCAATGACAATAATCTTACTCGCATTCCACCTGATATTGCCAAGCTTCATAATCTGGTTTACCTGGATCTGTCATCCAACAAACTCAGAAGTTTACCAGCAGAACTAGGAAACATGGTATCTCTCAGGTGAGAAAAATTATTGTGGTTAATTGTTCAAAAATCTATATTCTGGGATTGGGACATAGAATCTTATTTTGCTTTTGATTCTTGTATTTAAAATAGTTCTGAAAAATTGAAGGTTGGTGCAAAGCTTCAGTTCTAATAATTACTTTAGGGTTCATTACCCTTCTTTTCTGATCTCTACAGATACATGTCTGTAAGATACGTAGTCCTCTGCTCTGAAATATTCTTTGAGACATGGTGATTGCCCGCTGTTTAAATTCTCCCTGATTTAATTTTGTGTTTGGGGTTTTTGTGGGTTTTTTTTTCCTAATGAAAGTATCTTGGTCGTGCTTTGAAATGGGAAGATTGGCATATCTTTCCATAATACAAAAAAAATTCAGGGTGAAAAGTGTCATCTTTGAAGATGAGTGGCATATAGCTCTTTAAAAGTGTTCTTCTGAAGTGATACTCATCAAAAGTGTTTTTGCATTTGCTGCAGGGAATTGCTTTTAAATAACAATCTGTTACGGGTTTTGCCTTACGAACTTGGACGGCTCTTCCAGCTACAAACTCTAGGTTTGAAAGGTGAGCGAGTTCTTTACAGTTAAATACTCGTGGGAGTACTCTTGAATTACTAAGGGGGCTGGGCTCAAAAGCTTTGTGTATTACCTGGACATTTTATTACAGTTTATTTGAGATACTAAGCTTGCAGCAAAAATCACCACCCAGTTTTTAAAAAAATGCTTTTCTCTTTTAATGCTATTAAACTTCTTTACAAGCCTTTTTCAAATCTGTAGGTAGTTAAATAAACCCTTGAACCTACTGTATTATTGATTGAGATGAGTCAAAGGAAGAAAGTCTCCGTGTGCTAGCTATTTCTGTAGCATCTCTCACTGTAGTATTCTACAGTTCCAAGTTAAGCAACCTAAATATCTTCTGGGTCAATTTGTCTGTTCTCATGACGGGAGATTTTCTTTGGTTGAAAAGCCTCAAGAAAGTCAGGCAGCTAATCACCCGGTTGTTGTTTTATGCTGTTGGCAGGCAATCCTTTATCACAAGATATTCTCAGCCTCTACCAGGATCCAGACGGAACTCGAAAGCTACTGAACTACATGCTTGACAATCTAGCAGGTGACAGCCATACAAATCTGATTGACAGAAGTGGTTTAAATGCATGCATTTCTGACAGCATTTGCTGCTAAGACAAGATTCTGAACCACTGAAGGGAGGGTGTTTTCTAACTGCTTTTGCATTTTGGTCAAGTGGCTCCAGTTGTACACACAAACACATGCTCACACATAGTGGAAGGGGTTGGCATATATTGTCTAAGATTTTCCCATGTTACAGCCAATTGTTCTCAACTGTTCTGTTTAAAACCCTTCAGTTACCAACAAACTGCAAATTCTTCCTTGCTGAAGCCGTTTTGATACTTTCCACTAGAAGTTACAATCCAAATACTAGCAGAATGTCAAATGAGATCTAGAAATAGCAAAGTGATTAAGAATATCCATTACCTGACTTAAATCCTGCTTCGTGGTTCTGTAACCGAGCTTTCTGGTTTGCCACTTGATGTCTACTAAGTTAAAACACTGCAGGAGTGATGGACATCAGGCGAGGTTCTTGGAGAAGGGGAGCACAGGATGTCTGAACCACTACAGGATTTTACCCTTCCTTCTTCAGCAGTCTATTCAAGGTGCAGGCATATTTCAGCGGTGCTTCTAGATTTGAAAGCAAGAGACAAAAATAGTCATGAATCTTACAACTGACAAATATGTTTATACTATACCTAGCCTTTAAATGATTTTTGCCTCCCCTGGAGTGTAAAAAGAATCAGGATTTGAGGTTGCAAAGCACAGTAGGGAACATTACTGTTCAGTCATCATTTTGACTTAGAAATTATAACTTACAAATATAAACCTGAAATAAATCACTGTTTTACTTTTTTTTTTTTAGTTCATCCAGAGCAGCTGCCTCCAAGGCCATGGATTACTTTAAAAGAACGAGACCAAATTCTGCCCTCAGGTAAATCTGTGGGTTTTTTCCCTGTGTTCACACAATGATGCGCTGAAAAACTTTTATTTGGCTTTATTTTCAGAAAAGACTTATGCCTTACATGGATCAGATTGAAAACAGCAATTTGTGTTAACTCATACTAAAACAATTAATATACAGCTATGCTGTAAAGAGCATTTTTGTATTTTGAACAGGATGCTGGTCATTTCTTTTCCATGCTAGGCTTTTTTCATAACTGTTCTAGCAACTGATGCCCGAGCCAAAGAGATTTTTTTTAAAAAATTAATTTCTCAGAACTAATAACAGCTGTGAAATAACTGTATTCAAATGGCGTGTCCATGCACACGCTGAGTGAAGTTGGACTGTGAGAAGCCCCTGTCTGCCAGTGAACCCGTGGAGCGCCCGGTACTGAAGTTCGTTTCATGCCCTCTATTGTCGCTTTTGCTGAAGTGCAAGAGGAGCATTTCTTCCTGCTGTCCAAATCCAGTGACTCCTCTTCCCCTGAGCATCCTGAATATAGCCCTCCAAAAGCGCCCGAGAGCTTCTATAAAGGAGAAGAATGCTAATAGTGTTATTGCAGGTGATCAGGTTAATAACCAGCAAGAATAATTTGGCAGTCCTCTACGCTTTTTCTATTTAGAAGCATGAAGTTGGCAGGTCTTCAAAACTTACCTCGGTTGTGTGTTAGGCCAGCTAACATTGCAGCTAAAATAATCTGTCACTTTTTTTCTATTAAAGAACAATAAACCAGGAAAAAAAGAGGGAAGAAACAGGAGATGCCAAAAGTCCCATGAGCCACCACAGCATTTCTGTTTCAAATTCCCTTACAAATCAGTATCTCAGTGGCATTTTATGGAGTTTGGTTTTACTTTTTGAATCAAAGTTCCTGAGCAGAAACATAAGTCAGAAGTCATTACAAAGCATGGTGTTAGGATACTAAGCTGTGGAATATTTCATCGTAGAAACTGTAACAAGCCAATTGATTGCTATTATAAAATTTAAACAACTGAACAGCAGAAATCTTCATTGCCTACGAGTGTAAAAAAATACAGCTGTGGGGTAGCCTCACAGTAAGCCTCATAGCTCACTTCTTTGCCTGCAAATGTGAGCAGTCTTTTCCCAGTGGCATGGTGCTAGGATGTTTAGGATCTTTTTTAATTGGTGTAAAATCTGAGGGAGTTGAGAAGTTTGTGTGTGAGAAGTGTGTTTCAAGTTGAATGATCCAATGAGCAGCGTGCTGACTTCTCTCTTTTTTACAAAATGTGACCAATAATGTATTAGGTCCTTGTTAATTTATTACTTCATTTCTCTTTCCCTTCCCTGCCTTCACCTAGACCTCTATCTCAACCTTAGACTTCATAGACACAGATACAACTTGATACAACTTAGAAATGTTGTACAGGTGCTTGAAGAATTGTACAAAAGTTTTGGAATCAGTCTAAAAATGAAGTGTTCTAAAGCAGCATTTCTCTCCGATGCTGTGGTATCATTGCACAGTAACACCCTCTTTAGCAGCTTGGTTTTGCCTTTGCTTTAAAATTGTACAGGCCACTTAAGTCTGAAGTTGCTGTATCAAGGCACCTCATGCAATAAATACTGGGTTTTGACTCCATCACTCAGATGGCTGCTACTTTCCCTCTCCTTACCCCCAAATCCAGAGAGAGACCTTCTAATTGTTGCCAACCCCTCGGTCTCCCCCATCCTCAAAGGGAATAAAGAATTGACTGCAAAATGGGCTTGCATTGCTTTGTTATGCTCGTGATGCCATCTTGTTTTGGTGGCAATGCTGATTTGCTTTCAGGAAGAGTTTAGCTGTACATGGCAACTGCTGGCTCAGCTGGGCCTTTTTCACTCCTGCTCATGAAACGCTCAGTGGAATAAGCCCACTGACTTGTGTTCAGTAGGCCCTCCAGAACAGACCATGTAAGCTTCAGTATTTTGGCTAGAATAAGTTTGGCATTTGTAATAATCTTCAGAGGCTGATAAACTTTGCCTTTCTTTCTTTCCTTCCAGCTTCATTCACAGTTATGTGTTACAATGTGTTGTGTGATAAATATGCCACCCGGCAGCTCTACGGCTACTGCCCATCTTGGGCACTCAATTGGGAGTATAGAAAAAAGGGAATCATGGAAGAAATCGTCAACTGTGATGCAGATATCATTAGTCTTCAGGTAATTGGAAAATAACTGTATTTTTCATCAGAAACAGAAAACATTGACTTCCACCTTTAGAATGAAATGCTTCCTTGAAAGCACCCTATTTCTCTGCTTGCTAACAAATTCTGGGGCTTACCAACCAAGCTGTGTACACAGCTCCTTGCTCCTTGGTTATGCAATGGCTTTGTGTTCTATGAAATGAGACAAAGAGAGTGAGATAAAATTAGCTAAATTAGCAGGTAATTTGCCTTGGAACATCTGGGTCTTTTCCCCCTCAGATAAGCATCCTAAATACTTTCCCTCTGGGTGCACAGGGTTTACTGCAGAAAGGGAGAATACAGAGTGCTATAACCCCATATGCCACTATTCCTAGTCCATTCCTGCTTCGTACACAAGTTAAAGTCTCAAAAAAACTCTCATTGGCAAACAAGGGGACTCTCATGGTCAAAGTTAAATATCGATTATCATTGGTACATGTACCCTGCTATGTTATCAGAAATTTATTGCAGAAGTTTAGAACAGTTGAATGCTTCTGCCTTTAAACTGATCTTTCGGCTTTTAAGCAAGTTCTGGTAGGCAAAAATCTTGCACAAGAAGAGAGTAGTTACCTTGGTTTGAAAACCTCAAGAGATCAATCTCTGAAATCCTCTTGGAGACCAAAAGTTACTACAAAGAAAATGTGTTGTTATGGAACAGCGAGACACCCTTGTGCAAAAGAGCTCTCCAGATTAAATATTAATTGCTGCTGGATATCTATTGATCTAACCTAGGACGGTATCAGCATTCAGGTGTAATCTATTGCTATTCAAAACACACCTGTCACTTTACCTTTTGGGAGGATTCCAGGATATCCAGGAATGCAAATCTGTTTCCAGCAGACCATTAATCTAAGAAGTGACAGGATCTGTGCAAACAGAATCTTTTCCCTTTGGTGAGAGCTGCTGCCTGCAAGCCAAGGCAGGCCCAAGTTGCCATACAGCCATAGGAAGGATTTCTTTGACTTTGTTACCCTGAAGGTATTTGTGTTCAATTCCAGGAAGTGGAAACAGAGCAATACTTCACCCTTTTTCTGCCAGCCTTGAAAGAACGGGGATACGATGGATTCTTTTCTCCAAAGTCACGTGCCAAAATCATGTCTGAGCAGGAGAAAAAGCATGTGGATGGCTGTGCAATATTCTTCAAAACTGAAAAGTAAGGGGCAGAAACAGCTTTTTTAAAAATACATTAAACCCAGCTTGATTTAGGTCTGAAAGCTTTCCTCTCCCAGGGTGCATGGTAACCAAAGTATTGTGCTATAAAACAAAAGATAAAGTTCACTACAGAGAATGATCCTCCTTTCCTCTTTGCTGCTCTATTTGCAACCAAGTCCTTCCATTCCTTTCAGACTACAAAGAAAGATATCTCTCCAGAAACATGGGAGCTGCAGCAGAGCTAGTATGACTAAAAACTTATGTGATTCATGTGCGCATTTTTTTGGCAGATCTAATGAATACTTCACCTCTACAAACTTTTGCTTTGCTTGACAGAAGTTTCACCTCCTCTAAGATTAAAGATCTATAAACTGTGCTGGCTTAAGGTATTAAAAGATGTATTGCAGCCAAAGGATCACAGAATATTCCCTGCTTTTATGAATGGAAACATTACATTATTGAATACTTGATCCAAAAAGTTCTGCTACATTAAAAACATCAGACTATTGGGAAGGGAGGAGAGATGCTGGCACTCACACTTCTCATCTGTGTGAACTGCTCATGGGTTGTACCACCCTGAGTAGCCCTCTGAACATTCTCCCAAAACAGTTTTCAGCAATTAGAATGAAGTTTTGCAAAGCTTTAGCTCCTTTTCAGAGTTTTCATTGCTTCCAGAAATAAAAATATGTCTTTCAGATCATGTATAAAAAAACAGTTCCACTGGTTTTGAATAGAGGAAGTGAGTGAAAACAAACGTGTGTTTTTCAAACCTTCAAACTTTGATACTAACAAGGATATATACAGAGCTGGTTACTATGCAGTGGTGCGCTCAGTTAAAAAACAGAACATCCTTTTTCTTTTTTTAGTACTAACACTTTTTTTTTTAAATTTCTAAGAGGACAAAACCAAAAAAACCCCTTTCAATAGGTAGCCTTCAGTTTGTCCCAGAGCAAGGTGTTTTCGGGCATACTAAAGTTGAAAAGGAAAAAAAAAACAATTTCACAAAACTAGCAGTGGTAGATAGTGGTTTGAAAGAAGCTGGTTTTTAATACTGCATTTGCCCAAACTAAAAGCCAAGCCTTTAATTACCATCTTATCTAAATTTTTTGCCTGGAACACTCCTGAGGAGGTGCAATAACCTCTCAGCCTTGCTCCAAATAGTGCTCTCAGGGTGCCAGGCTGAAACAGGTAAACACTTCCTAAAGCCCAGGTATCTTGTCTGCCCTGAGAGTCATCTCACTTGCCAGATCAAGAGCTCTACCCTGACTGGGGAAATGTTTCTTAGAACTATTTTTACTTTTATAAAACAAGAGGACAAAAGAAATATGCCTCACCCTGTCCTGCAGGCTCTGTCCTTGGACATGGTAAACCAGAGTTCAGGTAGAAACCCTGTCATTTCACATAGCTGTGTGTCACACGTGTTCACACGTGATTCTTCTTATTTAACCAGATTTACGCTGGTGCAGAAGCATACGGTGGAGTTCAACCAGGTGGCAATGGCTAATTCTGAAGGTTCAGAGGCTATGTTAAACAGAGTGATGACGAAGGACAACATCGGAGTTGCCGTGGTGTTAGAGGTGCATAAAGAATTATTTGGAGCAAGTGAGTATGACTGTGGTTCTCTCATTATTCAGTTCCACATAAAGGCATCAGTTATTCTTTAGGTGATACAGCTCTTTAGAATAATGTTGCCATTGTTGGTAGTAACCAAATACTTGCAGATGAGCAAATACTGTTCACTAATTTGAGAAATGCTAGCCCATTGATGTCCAAGACAGGACACAGATGACATGATTTCCTGGTCTGCTTGCACTTGCAGCCAGATGCCCAGCATTAAGCTTTCTCCTCTCAAGCTTTTGTCCCTGCTTACTCTGCTAAATTCTACTTGAACAATTAAGCTTTTCCAAGGTCAGTGTGTTTACATGCATATGCTCTTACCAATGGTTGTCAGTAGTGTTCAACTTCTATTTTCAACTCTCTTTTCTTCCCCTTGATTGAATCCTTCCATCCTCCCCCAGTGATTGTATGACAGTGCTAATGTACTGATGTGGAAGAATGAGATTATCAGGTATCTTTTCATGCCACTTGATTGACTGGCTGTCACATTTTCTTAAAAGTTTGATCAGATGCAGTAGACAATTTCAACATACTTCAAATTACCACCCTGCTCTGTCTGTGTGTCTGGTTTTCTGCTGGCTCGTTTCCAGTGTACCCTGCAAAAGAGCAGAGTGTCTAAATTACAGGACTGGAAGGAGCTGCCTGTGACTTTATGCCCCATGTTCCAGAGTACTGTTTCTCAGATAAATAGTAAACCCAGCTATAGTCTTTTGCAGCAGCTGGGTTCCTACTGCATTCATTTAAGCAAGTTTGAGTTTTTTCCCAAGGGAACAATTTGCTGTGTCAGAAAACTCCCTTGCCCATAAATGATGAATAGTGGTGCACAGTCAAGCGGTGACCACTTGAGCAGTAGAGAAGGAATACAATTGTAACCATGTCAGATTATGCTGGCTATGTCTTTCCTATACTGGAGAGATTTAATCACGTAATATTATGTAAATGCTGCTAATTTAGAAAGGAATAGTGGTTCAGGTAATGCATCCATCTGCTGGTGTGTCTGAACGTGGAGTCTTTAGTAGCTGGACCCTGAATGTATTCACACGGTCAGCCTCTCACTGATAAAAATGTATTTGTTTATCTAGGTATGAAATCACTTCATGTGGACAAACAGCTGCTTATTGTGGCCAATGCCCACATGCACTGGGACCCCGAATACTCGGATGTGAAACTCATCCAGACTATGATGTTTGTCTCAGAACTGAAAAATATCCTTGAGAAAGCCTCAAGCAGGCCCAGTAGCCCAACAGCAGATCCTAACTCTATCCCCCTGGTGCTGTGTGCGGATCTCAACTCGTTGCCTGATTCAGGTAAGACTGGTATTGCCTTAACATTTAACTTACATTTTTAGAACGTTTGAATCCTCTTTTCCTCTGAGGGCGATGGGGCAGTTTGCACTTCCCTGGGTAGGTATGGATGAAAGCTTTCTTAGTAAAAGCTGGCTTTTGAAATCTGGCTGAAGAGAATGCAAGTCCTCCGTTTGAGTAGACTGCTTTTCATCATCAGTTGCACGCTCCAGAAAAGTTAGTTGCCCCTGCAAAGATGTAGAAAAGCACAAACAGATCTTAACTAAATTGTTAAATACATACCCATGCTTTGAGCAGCAGTAATAAGTAGGCAAGATGTGAGTTTGTGATGGAACATGAAAACTTTCTAAGGAGACAGGTTTGCTTCAGTAATTATGACGTTTGACACTGTAATATCAGGTATACGTACGAAAGCTGCCTCTCTAGCACCCGTCACATGCATACTACAGTACATGTACTACAGGTTTACTGTAATCCTCAAAAAATGGTGTCAAAACCACCGGAGAGCCTCAGTTCCCCGGCTGCCTGTCAGAAAGGTGCCTCAGACACGGACAGGGCAGCTGCTGCGTAGATTTCCCCTTGGATGGAAGGCTTTTTTCTGATCTCATGGGGCATCTTATTGATGGTTTGGTTTTTAACTCCGAAGCCAACATTCCCTGAATGTTGTATTTTAAAGCAACTCCCTGAATCCTTTCCTTTGCAAACAGGTGTAGTGGAATACTTAAGCAATGGCATAGTAGCTGACAACCACAAGGACTTCAAGGAGTTGCGTTATAACGAGTGTCTCATGAACTTCAGTGGCAATGGAAAAAACGGGGCTTCTGAAGGAAGAATAACGCATGGCTTCCAACTCAAGAGCGCCTATGAAAACAACTTGATGCCTTACACCAATTACACTTTTGATTTCAAAGTAAGCAGCGATTTTTCTGAAATGGCAGACCTGGTCTCCCCAGGATGCTGTGTTAATTTTCTGACCATTGGCTCTCTCTCTCTTTGTTCATCTAAGTGCTTCATCACTGGTTCCTACACTCACTGGACACTTTTCCCACCGCGCACAAATCCTTGATTGGCTGGTGTTTGTAAGCTTCTGACCTGGCTCTGGCCAGCGACTTAATGAGAACGGATGCAGCGCTTTTGAACACAAAACACCTCGCGCGTTTCTGACCTTAATTCCGGCGCTGTGCCTCTTCCTGCCAGCCGCAGCCAGAAGCCAGTCGAGTTGAGGTTGCCAGAAGCGAGGCCTGTTCTCACTGTCGTGTTTCTCTTTCTCCCTAGGGTGTGATTGACTACATTTTCTATTCCAACACTCACATGAACGTGCTTGGTGTCCTGGGGCCTTTGGACCCTCAGTGGCTGGTTGACAACAACATCACTGGGTGTCCACACCCTCACATCCCTTCAGACCACTTCTCACTGTTAACACAACTCGAACTCCATCCTCCGCTCCTGCCTCTTGTCAACGGTGTGCACTTGCCGAACAGGAGGTAGTGTGGAGCCCTGCCCCCCTGGGGGCAAGGACCTGTTGTTATGGACCTGTACAGTTGTAAATCAAAGTATATAGGAGTGAAGTATGGCCAACCTTAAGCTGCTTCTTCAAGCTCCTTTCCTTATGTGTTTGATATGAGATTTTGCACATTTTGGTGCATATTGGTATCATTTGGCACTAGGGCTGGAACCAAAGTATTATTCCCTTTCCAGGTTTTTAATTTAATTTTTTTTTTTTTTTAAAAACTGGCAAGCTTTTTCTTTTCAGTAGGAAGCTGCACTTATAAGTGGACAAATGAGATTAAAAACTTGCTTATTAACATATTTCAAGATAATGCTTTTTTCCAGAACGTGGCGAAATGAGCCAACCTTTTAGGAGAAAGAAAAACAAAAATAGAAAAGCTTGTTTTGTAGGAAAACTATTAGAAATACTGTTTGTTTGAACCCAAAACGGAGACTGAACTCTGCATCTGAAATAAATTTTGCACATTAGCGAAGCACTTAATACCTGACTATATATGATTAGCAGTGTGGCCCTGCCCCTCGTCTAACTCATCTTAGAAAACCAAAGATGGCTTAATATCTGTGATAAAATTTGAGGTCTAAATTCTCCTGATGTAATCTCCTTTAGAACAAAATTTCCAGCGAAGCGATGTCTTACAAGACTTTGTGGGTGAGCGCTCAATGCTGTGTGTAGATCACTTGCTCAGCAGATGCCATGGTGACTTTTTTTTTTTCAGAGCTCTGAAGGACTTGGTCCTTTCTGGGTGAGATATGCAGGGATCCAAAGGACCTCTGTGAAACAGAGCTGCCTCTCTGCTAGGGCAAAGCCAGGGCCACGCTCTTCAGCAGCACAGTTTGGGAGCAGGACTTAGAAATGGTAAGAAATTGCACTTGAAGCCAGCTCTTGTAAGCCTCTGGGTTGCGGGTGAATGAAGAAGTTGCAAATCCCTCCTGGGTTCCCTTTTTCAAAGTTCAGTTGCAAATTTGGGATTAACTGCGTAAGCGGTAGGGTACAGGAAAAAGCCACTGGAAATGACCTTACTTTTGTCACCAAAGGGCACACGGGGTAGCTGTCGAGATGCTTTTTTCACTGGGGGAGCGAGCGGTAGCCATAGTCATTCCTTGGATTATTTTTCCTGATCCTAGTTGCCAAATAGCCATCACACTTTTTTAATAACCTTTCTTTTCTGTTGTCGGTCAGGGTTGAATTAAAAAGCTGCTGGTTCATTCCCAACTGTTAATGCTCTTTGGATGTGTTGGAAATCCTTTTTTTTTTTTTTCCCTTTTTATGCTTTAGGTGGCCAGTTCAAAACCTTGTGCCTCACGAGGCATTAAACATAATGCAATCTTCTGAAAAATTGGTTGGCTGCTTAATGTTTAAAAAAAAAAAAATGGCACAGTGATAGGAAAAGGTTGTGTCTGTGTTTTTAAGTTTTTCTTTATTCTGCTTTTTTGCTGCTATAAGATTTTCTTGAATTTATATTTTAAACTTTTCATGCACTTTACTGTTTCTAGTCTCAAAATGTGATATTTTTAATAAATGAAAAAATTTTCCATTATGTGAATGAAATTTTTAAACAGATTGATAGCCTATATTTATGTCTCATTCGTATATTTAAAAAAAGTCAAATTTAAATTGTGAAATTAGTTTTAAATACTAAGGAGCCATCTTCTGTCGTGCAAAACTGCTAAGTCAGGCTGTTCCTCTACTCTTTAATTAAGCATTTCCTTTGTCGTTTTATACATAGGAAATTATCCATAGGAAAAAAAAAAATCAATTGGACTTAGAGTAGAAATATTCCCTGATTCTTGTTGGGGGCCGGGGAGGGGGTGGTGTGGGACAGAACGCAAAAATGGGTTCAAGGAAACGACAACTCCCTTTTAAAAAGAAGTGCCTAAAAAATGGAGGCGTCATCTATTGTCTACTCTAAATTGGAAGCAATCGCAGCTGGGTGTGACATTCCTGGACAGCACCAAAAAAAAAAAAAAAAAAAAGAAAAAGCCCTTTCTAAAGACGGATTTTCCTCTAGGTGCAGGTATCTCTTTTTTAATATACCTCAGCGTTCACCACCTAGCCATTGCCGATAAATTGTGAAAGCTATTTGAGAGTATAGTACTGGAAAGTAGAATAGCATGAAAAACTTAATTTTGTGGACATTACCTTTCTGTAATCAGCTACTGTATCTTTTTTGGAGGGGGGGGTGCTCTGCTCTGGAGGTGTGCACTAACAAACCCTTCTCCTCCTTTTCCTACACGCATGTTAACTAGCAACGTGAGCAATATTTCCTACCATACTTCACTCCCAATATTTTTTGAGATGTTTGTATAAAATGGAATTTCAAATTCACCTATGATTGTATATGAACTGCAGAGGAGCCCGTTTATTAATAAAAATAAAAATCAACAACAATCTTTTGTAATATCGGGGTGGAAGAGGATGGGGATGAAAAAAACCAACCCAACCTGGCAAACATTGTACACTGCTTATAGTTGACTTTCCTTTGGTTTCTAACCGATTGAAGTGTTCTGTTGCGAGAAGGTGTTTAATTGGATTTTCTCTGCTGCGAAAAGCACTTCTGAACGTCCATTATGCTATGCGATTTTTCTTTTTTTTAAAAAAAGCTATTTTAACAGACATTGCACAAAACCTCTGGATTTTAAAGAAAAAAACGCTGTCTTGTTTATGTTTCAGTCGATGCACATAACCAGGGACATGTTTACCCGCCTTTCACGTGTCTGGCTCCCTTCCCCTTTTCCTTCTGGGTTTTTTTTTCCCCTTCCCAGCAGGAGCAGTAAGGGGATTGCGCTTTTTTCCCAGCTGAGCAGAAACCCCGCTCTCCATAGTGATTTTTGCAGAAAAATCTCTAAGGGGAGAAGGAGCAGGCAGCCATCAGCCTCACATGCAGAATGAGATCCCTTTTGGTAAACATATGCATCGTCCAGATGGCGACGCTAATTTTCTTTTGACCCAGATGGAAGCTGACAGGAGGGTGTTTTCTAGGGGAGAGGGAGTAATACAAAGCAAAGTATCCCTAATCCCAAGCAGAGATGGATGGGAAACCATCTATTCCCTCCATCCTCCCTCTCTGACCCTTGGTTCCCAGCACGTCGCAGGCGACGCCTGGAAAAAGAGCTCTTAAGTCCTTTTACTGCTCCTCGCTGTCTTGGTTTGCTTTCAAAAATATGGTGCCTGGTGTCAACTTCTAAGCAACAGCACTGCCTAAAGCAAGCAGAGAAAATAAAATCCAACACCCTTCTACAAGCAACTTTTTAAAATTCAATATGGTAAATCTGTTAGATATGGGGTTTTGTGTGTGTGTGTATATATATATATATAAAAAAAAAAGAGAATTTTGTACAATGTAGCTGAATATTTTTGTTTCCTTATTTCGATGTAAGGAGTGTGAACATTTGTGTACCACACGCTAAGTCAGGTATGGCACAATGGGGTATGAGACCAGCTTTCCTTCCCATTTGCCTCCTTAAAAGCTTTTGTTGTCTCTTTCTAGCATTCGTTGAGAAAATATTTCATTTAATTGGTAACCTTTCTCTGCCTGTTGGAAGCCACTCCTGTTTAGTCTGCAGACACATTCAGAAAAGATCCCTTTAGTCCCAAATCCTCGCTGCCCTGTGTTTTATAGACTAGAAAGCCAAAATCTTTGACTCTTAACCTTTCCAGAAGCATTTGTGGCTGACCTAACGCAGCTTTCAAAACCATACCGTGATCTTCAGCGTTCGGGTAACGCTGCAGATGGCTGATGGTCTCCCACCTTGCTGGCTTTGCTGCAGAGACTCCTAAATCCACATTTGCACTCTTGCACTCCCGAGGCCCGCTTCACAAAGATGCTGAGCATCTGCAGCTCCTACTTGATCCCCAATACTGGGCTTTCAGAAACCGGCTTCTCACACCCGGCTCGTCAGACGTCGGGTCCAAATTGTGAGCGAGAATTTGAGACCTCAAAGGTTCATATCACTTGTTTCTCTGGGGGTTGGTTACGGTCAGGTGGCGGAGGGGGGAAGCCAAAAGGGCTTGTTGAAATTCAGAGTTTCTTTGTTAACGTAGAAGACAGGTTGGGGAAACACTTTAAGGGATTCCTAGTCCAGGAGCACAGTATTCCCTCCTGCTTGGTAGGGAGCAGGAGCCAGGAGTGGCTCCCGGTCCTTACTTTCTGAAGACCAGATTTAAACCCAGCAACAGAACAGCAGCGACTTCATTTCCACCATACATTTTCAGCTCATAGCACCAAAACCTTTCTTTAGCATGAAACTTGGCATAGCGGGGTGAAGTGAAAGGTCTGTTAGTCCTACCCAAACCAGATTAACAGCCCGCATTAGAAATACCACAGAAATGCAATACGCACCCTTATACTAGTTAAAAAGGGAGTTTGATTAGAAATAACGGTTGTCCTCTCCCCAGCGACCTCAGCTTTGTACCCAATTCCCATTCTTTTGTTCTTGGCTTCCTCATAGATATTTTTCTTGTAATGGTAAGGAAGAGTTAAGGCCCGATTTAAACCTAAGGGAGGACCCTCTCCCAGTTGTATGGGGAGATGACTGACCTAAGCACATCTGTATCTGGCAAACCGGTACACGAGGCAGCAACAGGAGGTGCTTCAGCTAAAATCAGGCTGTCAATGTAAAAGAGCAGCAGGTTGTTGTCCTACTTGGTCACCACAGAGATGTGATGTTCTTCTAGGCAGTCTTCACAACCAAAACCGCCTGGTCAGAGGCAAGGCTCACTGAAGTTCATGTGAATGGGTATGGTTTCAGCACCAAGCACACGCATTGAAAAACCTCGCTTGCCTAATCTTGTGTGTCCCAAAAGGAGCCAAAGTGCTTGGTCTTGGAGGAGTTTTACCCAGGGGAGGCAGAGGACCTGATTTGTTGGAGAGCGGAAAAGAAATGAGCCCTAGATACAGAGAGATTCGGGTTTTTCCAATAGAGGCTATTACTAGCTGAGTCTGAGGGAAAGCATCTTGCAATATGCAGCTCATCAGTTTTTCTAAGATTACAGAAGTATAGTCACATACCCTCCCTTTCCCACCCTACAGCGTTCAAAGGCGACACAAACGCCAAGAGAACCTGGTGGAAACCGTGTTTCAAGTCTCTATGCCAAGTGCTAGCCAAGAACTCACTTCTATGATTAAAAAACAATTTTAGGAGATTATAAGGCTCTAGATCTAGGCACGGCTCTAAGTGATACAGTATCTTCTCCTGGGACCACTCTTTCCACTGACACTGACCACAGGTTTGCTTTTCCTCCAGGAAAGGAGAGCAGGGACAAAAAAAGCAGAGTGAACGAGGCAGGCGCAGGCATTGCACGAACAGAAAAGGCACAAAATGAACACCTTTAAAGAACTTCATCCTAAGAAAAACTATTTCACCCTATAAAAGGTATTAAGAGATGATAAAGTTTGCTGATTTGGCTATATTTGAGGATGGTAGACTTCAGGAGTACAGCTTCTTGGAGTATATCTGAAAATAAGCATGAAGACAGAGAAATGCTCGGGTACTTTGACACTTTGGGGTGTTTTAAGCAGTGTTGATGGCAAAGCACACCAAGTGATATGACTCTTTTTTCCCTCCCCTCCTGCAGTTGCACGGTGTGTTTAGCTTACAAAATCTCTCACCGTTTGAGTGGTGAAGGGTGGAGTGATCCTGGTACGTGGTCTTGTCCTCTTTGTTAAACAGTTCCTACAATTTAGGCATTTACTGAGTTTGCATTTGTCTGTATTTGTCTTTGTTCCAAAAGAAAAAAAAAAAAAACCTCAACCAAAAAAAACCAACCCTCCTGGTGGCTTTCTTTACAAGTGACATGTTACATGACTTTGGCTTTGTTTTCCATTTTTAATTACTGCATTGCGTGTTTGCTTTCCGAGCAATTAAAGTGTTTGTGTGCACCATGTTAGCTAAATATGCCCTTAATTCATATATTCACGGGCTGGACCGGAGCAGCGGTGACGGGAGCCTGGGCTCCCCCTCCTGCCCCATTTCCCAGTGGTTATTTTGGGAGGTCAGGGAGGGGTTTTTTTCAAGTTGGATTTCTTTCTTGTGGGTTGTCTTTGCAACCGCAAGGTCCTGTCCCTCAAAAGATGGAAGTACCCTTGGAGAGGAGGGAAGCTGCAGTGCCAGTGTCACTCCCGGGCATGCTAATGCTACAATTTTAGGGGGGTTTACATCTCATTTTATGGAGAAAAACACAGCTGGGGGGATGACCCTGGGTGGTCACCATCCCCACCAGCCCAAAGTTTGACACCAGCCCTGGGCACCATGCTTAAAAGAGCCACAACTTCAACCAAGACCCGAGCAAAAAACCTGAGTAACCTGCTTATTCCACGTTTCCCCCGAGAATAAACAGGGAGAAACCTCTCCAGCTCTCCCATTTGCTTTTACAAAAGGATCGTCTTTTTCTCTCCCTCTGAAAGAATTCATGTTTTGGAGAAAGTGCCACGTCCTGCTGCAGTTTCCCCCGTAATTAACCTTACAATGAAAAACTCACCAAGAAAGCGAATTCCCACGGAGTGGTGATGGCAGGGACCCTGCCCCTGCGTGGACCCAGCCCTGACAGAAGAGCAACAAATGCTGAGCTAAGCAGCCCTGCCCCGCTTTAACCTTAGGGCAGCTCGGGAAAGAGAGGTCTTCAAAACTCTGAACTGGTACTTTTTTCTTCCCTTTTTCATTTTTTTTAAATTTAAGCACACACCACCCCCACCCCCCTGCACTGTGGAGATGGGGTACTGCTCACACCTAATGGGTAGGCTGAAATGTCGGCTTGTTTCTTCCCACCTGTGTACTTTTTTGTTTCCTTCTGTAGGCAATAAACAGCCCTTTTGCAACCGCTTTTGTCCCCTGCTGTGGTTCCTGAGAAACGCAGGGGTGGGAAGGAGGGGGACATGGGGTGTTTCACAGCTCGCCCCTGCCCGGGGACACGCTTTTGGCATCCAGGGTGGTGGGGTGGGTGACGCAGATTTGATTCCTACCTTTTTGGGGAGGTCCCCAGACGCCTACTTCCAGCATGGCCAAGCCAGATCTTTAATAGGCTGCAAGTCACACCTGTGTCACCTCGGTCCCTGTGGCCAAGGGATATCCCTGTGCAGCCCCAGGGTCCCTGTGGGACCTGTGCATCCACCCCAGAAAAACAGGGGTCCATGGAGAGAGCCTCAGCCTATCACTGGGAAATTTCCCAGTATTTCCCATTTCTCCTGTGCTGGCGCAACTGGGAGCCGGCACCGTGGGGCTGCAGAGGTCAGACCCCGTCCAGTGTCCCATAGCATGACCCGCTTCTCTCAGGAGCTGTCAGAAAAAGGCACCGAAACTGGAGGCAGAGGAAAGGCGGTACATTAGGAATCACCCTGCAGGAAAGCAGCCGAGGGCTTTACAGTGCCATGGTCCCGCCTAACCTCCCTGTCTCCCCAAAATCCCGATTTTTACACAAATCTGTGCAGAAAGAACTGCCGCGGCCCAGAGAGGGAAGCACGTTCTTCATTTTATTGATGGCATCCAGGACAGGCTGCTGTCACATGCAGGCAGTGGAGGGTGACGCCGGGTGCCCGAGGGGAAAGCATCTTTTTGGGGGGAAGCGGGGGAAGGCTCCTGCCCCCTGTGAAAATCCCCAGGAGCGGAGCAAGCTCCGGCAGTGTGCCGTGAAACCCAGCGTGTCGCAGCATGGAGGAGGTACAATCACTGCTGGTCCCACAGAGGAGTAAATAACCCCGGCTGGTTATTTATTATTGTATGGGGACAGAAGGAGAGATGGTCTGGCGGGGTGCTTGTACCATGGCCCCAGTCCCCCAGCCCACCGCTCCGCTTCCCGCCGCACCCGCACCACCGCTTCCTTTTTGATGGCGTTCCTGTGGATTTACAGGGAGGAAAGAAATGACAATAAAGCAGTCGGGGGAAGGGGATGGCCCTGGATTCGATACAGCCCTTGTGTCTCAGTCGCTGGGCATCGCGTACCTCTGCATCAGCTTGTAGATGAGCAGCTGGATCCAGGGCGCCTCGGGGGCCACACACACCTTCTTATTTTTCTTTAGGGTGAGGCTGCAAGGGGATGAGATCCCTTCAGACCCACACACGCCTCTTCCCCAACATCTGAGGAGAAAAGCCCTCTCGCTCCCCCCAGCACGGTTATAAGCATACCCCTGCAACCCTTGCCAGGAGATCTATGGGATTTTTGGGAGCTTGATCTCAGCTCCATGAGCCACGCCGAGGGTAACCCCTGCTAAAACAGGCACCAGTGTCCCGTGCAAGAGTCACCGCAAGATTTGGGAGCTTTGGAGAGCTTTCAAAGAGGAGCTTTGAAGCCTATTTTTGCAGTGGTACATAGAATCACAAGATCGATAGAGGTGGAAGGGACCTTAAAGATCATCGAGTTCCAAACCCCCTGCCATGGGCAGGGACACCTCCCACCAGACCAGGTTGCTCAAAGCCCCATTCCAGCCTGGCCTTGAACTCCTCCAGGGATGGGGCAGCCACAATTTCCTCAGGCAACATGTTCCAGAGTCTCACCACCCTCACATTAAAGAATTTCTTCCCAATATCTAGTCTACATCTCCCCTCTTTCAGTTTAAAACTGTTACCCCTCATCCTATCACTCCACTCCCTGATCAAGAGTCCCTCCTCATCTCTCCTGTAGGCCCCTTGAAGTACTGTAAGGCTGCTATAAGGTCTTCCCAGAGCCTCCTCTTCTCCAGGCTGAACAACCCAACTCTCTCAGCCTGTCCTCATAGGAGAGGTGTTCATGAGAAATCGATTTCCAGGAATGGGTTTTTAGGCTTTCCACTTACATGATCTCCTTCCTCCTGCAGTGAATACCCGGCGGTGTAACGTCGATGGCGAGGATCAGCCCCAGGTTGATGACCTGGGCGGTCGATTTGATGCACTTGCACCTCATATTGGTCAGCAGGCTCTCCAGGGACAGACCTGTGCCCAAGAGCAGCCCACACCCAGGTCTCAGCCCCCCATGGGGGGATGCAGGTGGGGACAACCCCCTCCAACTGCCATCCCCATGCCACCATCCTGTCCCCTCCCCGGCACCCATGGAAGGACCTGTGTTAGCAGGGTTCATAGCAGCAAGGCTGACGCAAAGCTAATCCCTCCTGGCATCATCCCAAAGCTTTCTTTAAATGCACACAGAGGGGGGGTTTAGCTTCAGCATTTGAAAACTAACATTTTTGGAATTAAACCCATCGCCCCCCCACCAAGTGCTCAAGTTTCACAGGGGTCCTGAAGCGAAGCAGCTTAAACCCATCAGGCCCATCTTCCCCCCAGTCCCAGGCATCCCGCTCCAGCTCAGCCACTGGGTTTAAAAGACAAACTCAAGCTCAAAGATGGGCCAGAGACGAATACGAAAGCTCAGAAGATCCCACGGCTCAGCATCCTCTAGGGCATCTGCGGGTTTGGATGGGGAGACGGGCGGACACCCCAAGGTCACTCACCACCCCCCGGCACCAAGTTGCTCAGGAGCATGGCCAGGGCCAGGGCCAGCGCCGCCGGCAGCAGCCGCATCCTCGCCACCCACACGGAGCCACCCTGGGGGCTGCTTTATAGCCAGCCCCCACGGGGGTTTTGCAGGCAGGGACAGAAGCTGTCCTGTGCTTCAACTTCCCTGCCATCGCTTCCCCCCCGGTGCATGTGGCCCACACCACCTCCCCGACAAAAAACGCAGAAATCACCGCGGCCTGGGGGCTGCTTTATAGCCAGCCCTCACGGGGGTTTTGCAGGCCCGGAGAGGAGCTGTCCTGTGCTTCAACTTCCCTGCCATCGCTTCCCCCCCGGCACACGTGGTGGCCCACACCACCTCCCCAACAAAAAATGCAGAAATCACCGTGGCTACCTCCTAAAACCTCCTGCTTACCCCGTGTTTCTTGGTGGAGAAACACCGACAACCCCCGCTCTGCTCTCCACCCCCCAGGACCCCCAAGCCCCCAGCACACCACAGGAAGGGAGGCGAGCGATGGTGACCAAGGGCTGCTGCCTTTATTGGACCTGTTAGGTTGTGCCTGAAGGGGACACCCAGCGCTTGGCCACAGGGTGGGAGAGAGGGGAAGCAGGGACCAGCATTTTCAAGGGCTTAAACGCATAAAATGCAAAGAAAAAAGGGGTTCAGGGCATCATGCAGCAGCACGCTCCCCGCTGCACCGGGGCAAGGGGACAGTGGGATGGGAGGGGGTGTCCAGTTCGGGGCTTGGCGCATCTGGCTGTCCCGCCGGTGGTGGCTTCCTCACTGGGGAGCCTCTTTCTTCCTCCTGCCAAAAGCAGAAGTGGGGAGAAATGTGTGAAGACCGGTCCTCACGGGACATCCCTGATCCTGCCAGGAGCCCCTTTTGCTAGGGGTGGAGGGAGGCTTACAGGTTGGGGAGGTCCTGCAGGAGTTTCTTCACCCAAGGGGTGTTGGGATCCAAGCAGACCCTCTCCAGGCTTTTTAGCTTAACCCTAGAAAACACACGGGGTTTCAGCAACCCTCCTCCAGTGCGGGGGCTGGAGCAGCTGAGCCCCCCAGCACCTCTCATAAAGAAAAAGAATGTGAAACTGAAACAATTCAGGGAGGACAAGGGTGGGGACAGAGGGCTGGTGTCCCCCCAGGAGCCACTTACACCACCTCGAGGCGCCGGCAGCTGCTCCCCACTGGCCGGACCTCGATGCTGCTGTATTTCGACGGGGAGATGAAGGCCCTGGTGGTCTTGGCACAGCGGCAGCTCAGGTTGCCATTGGCTTCCAAGAGAGCTGGAGAGGCACACGGCCGCGGCTCACACATCACCCAAAACCCCATCGCCATACCCAAAACCCTTTCTGGGCAACGCATCTCCCCCCACATCCCACCAGGATCACCGCACCCACTTACAGAAGAGTCTTGGGGGCATTTTAGCCCTGGAGATGGCAGCAGGATGCCACCTCCAAAACCCTCCATCCCCCCCACAGCATCCTCCACAGCCCCACGCCTGGGGCCACGGGGAGCCTCACCTGCATCCCCAGGACGGTGAGTCACCAGCAGCACCCCCAGCAGCAGGGCCACCCACGCAGCCATGCCGGCCCCAGCCCCAGCCCCGGCAGCATCCCCCTATTTGAGCCAGAAAATAGGAGAAGTGAGGCAGCGCCGGCGGGAGGCCCCGGGGTTGGGGTGGTTTTTGCCCAGCTCCGGTCCCTGCTGACGGCGCTCGCTGAGCTTGCAACGATGCCAATAAAACCAGCTCGGGGCTCGGCGGGGGCCTGGGCTTCCTGAAACCGGCTCCGTTTTCCCCTTCCCACAAAGCTGGCTCTTCTAAAATTGTCAGTCCTTTCCCTCAGCGCCTGTTCTTAGCCCCCACGGCCACACAAGCCTGGAGGATTTTTGGGCTGCTTTTCTCTTCTGCGTGATCTGATACTACTCACGTCTCCTACAACCAGATTTCCCCTCTTCAAGGCGCATCCCAGCCTGAGCTTGGTGGCACCCACTTTTGCTCTTGCCCCCCCTGTGGGTGATTATCCCAAAACTCTGCCAAGTGACCTTGCACCCCTCCTCCATATTTCCCATTGGCCTTTGCTGCTCTCCCAAGCCGTACGGCCGCCTGCACACCCCAGCCCCACCACCACCAACACTGGTGCTTGGATGTAGGGCACGCTGGTTTTATCACCCTGCCGGCAACGTCACGCCTGGAAACAACAGATCATGTCAGGAAGGAGCTTTGCTCCCTGCCAGGGGCCACCAGACCCCCACTGGTGGTCCAACACCCATCCCAGCTACCAGCACTGCCTTGGACAAACTCTTCCCCGCCCTTATCTCCTTCCTCTGCATAAAAGGGGTTTCCACAGTGCCCGAGACGTGCCTGGGTGCTGCCCTCGTTCCCCTGCCTCTAGTGGAAACACCTCACCTGCCGTATATTCAAAAGCACGTTTTAATGCCTGGGGTATATCTGTGAAGGAGCACCAAGACAAGAGCAACTGGATGCAAAGGATGGTAAATTCCACGCCAGGAAGGCTGCAACAGGGGGGTTATCAAAGCTCTGCCACGTTTCTTCGAAACCAGGGGATCCAGGGAAAACACAACAGAAGAATAAAACACCCCAAAACCTGTATTTTATTAGACTTGAATTCTCAGGACAGGACACACCACGCTGTGTAACAGAAACCCAGTCTCACACGAGTGCTTTGCACGGAGAGAGTCACAAAGTCCTTCTGACAGAGCCGGGAGCAGCCCCTGGCAAAGAAAGGCTTCACAGTCCACGGGCAAGTCAATAAACGAAGGGTTCATATTCACACTGATCCAGAGACAAAATACATGGGGAAAACACCGCCCCACTCCCCAACCCTGCTGTGGGGCTGGGGACAGCAGCGGCCACGCTGGGGCTGGAACAAGGGGCTTTTGGGACAAGGGGAAAGCGAGGGTGAAGTGAGGAGCGGCCAGGTTTGCACGTCTGTGCATCATCTGCCAGCCCGGCGCAGGGCTCTGCGCGCCAACTTCCTCAGCAGGAAACTTATTTTTTCTTCCTGCGAAAAGCAGAAGGAGGAGAAACGTGTGAACACAGAGAAAAGCGGGTCCTGGGGGAGGAAGCTCCTGCCCCAACTGAAGGAAGTCGCTGCCGTTTCCCTGGGGTAGGCATAACCCGTGGGGGCATCTCCCTGCCACCCTGCTGCTGTGCCACAAACCCAGCCACCACGAACGAGGGCAGCTTTCCCAGCCAAGCAGTGACACTCTAACGCACTCACAAAGACCAAACCCCGCTCCTGATATTTCCCACACCCCCCCAAATATACTATTTTTTTGCCAAAATGTTTTCAGAGACACAGCACTGTGCAAAAGCCGGAGAGAGACCACGACCCACGGATGGCAGCATCAGCACACTGAACGACTGAAGGCTGCTTTTTACGGAGAGGTCTCACTCCACATCATTTTGGGAGTGGGTCCCGTGGCCCCAAGAGCTGCAGGTGGGATGGGATGCTGTCCAGGACCACCCCGAGCCAAAGGATTTTTCATCGACGCAACTTACGTGCTAGCAATACGCTTCAGCAGTTTCTTTACCCAAGGGGCGTCAGGGTTCACGCACACCTTCCCTGAGGCTTTTAATTTAATTCTGAAACACAAGGAGAGTTTATGAGCTTTACCCTCTTCTCCAAAGGTGGAGATTCGAGCAGCCAGAGCGGAGCTGCACAGACTCAGCTTTCCTTTACAGTGCCAGCAGGTCGCAGAGAGCTGCTTGGGCAGAGGGAAGCCACAGGACGGTCAGAGAAAAGCAAGATGCAACACATTCCCCTGCAGAGCAGAGGCTGAGCTGGAAGGCCAGAGGTGACTCTTCAAAGACAATTTTCTTTACAAATGCATCAACACCGAGCAGTCAAATCTTACACTTCTGCTTAATGTGCCACTTTAGCCAGGACAGGAGTAACCAGGTAAGGGCTTGACCCAGCATGCTGTTTTCTTTCAGGAACGTTGCATACTGGTAATGGAAAAACTGGCTATGGCTCATCCTGCCTTGGTGTCTGAGGATGTGTTTCCTCCAAACTGCAAACACCCACCCCCCCAGCACAGTCCCCACTAAGCACCAGCATGAAGAAATCATGCTTTCACCTGCTGGAAAGAGTCATTTAGGTCCTGGGGAGCTCTGGCAGGTCAGCTCAGCTCTGATGTTTCTCAGTCCCCAAGCATGAGTGAGCTTGCTGATCTTTTTGAAAAGCTTTAGTTTTCAGAAAGGGAGCGGAGAAGCAGAACATTTGCAGAAGAGAAGGTGCTGGCCCTGCTGCTCTGTGGGAGCTGGAGGAGAAAGCAGTTTTCTGCCTCCCGAGCCACCTGCAGCACTTACATGATCTCTGTACGTCTGCAGGTGCTTCCCACAGGTCTGATCTCAATGCTTTCGTATTTCTTTGTACTGATGTAGTCCGAAGTTGTCTTTACACACCTGCAGTTCAGGTTTCCATTCACCTCCAGGATGGCTGAGAAAGAGAGAAGGTAGCGACTTACAGAGACAAACAAGCTTATTTCAAGATGCAGCAACTTCAAATCTCTTAGAGAGCCAAAGAAATTGTCCCTTCCTGTGCTTTCACTGACAACACTTTAGGGACCATGGTAAGAAGCTTATCTGCGCCTCTGCCTCTGTGCCCTGCTCTCACACAGCTCCTGAGAGCTGAATGAGGTCCTAGCAAAGGAGAACGGTCATGCTCTTTCCTTGGCTACAAGAAAAAACCCTGGGCTAAGCAGCCAGGAGTCATCCCTATCTCCTCTAACCCCTTTTGGCGCAGGATGCAGGTGATGCCCACCCCTCACGAGTACCATGGCAGGCGGGGAGCTGACAGCCATGGGGATCTCTGCAAAGATACCAGAAGCTCACCTGTGTGGGCCAAGTGAGACATCACCAGCAGCAGGAGCAACCATGGCAGCACGGGGGCTCCTGTCCCCACCCCAGCCGGCACTCGCATCCTGGCAACAGGCTCAGCCCCAGAGACGGACTGAGGAACGGTGAAGAAACACCTCTATTTATTCAGGAGGGTCACGCTTCGTCACAAGCGTCAAGATTCAAACTTCAGCAGTCACATCTGGCCAGCAGACCGTGAAAAGAGGTGACGTAATTTCTCAGATGCTCACTGCAGCCGGGTCAGAAGCTGCATTTACAGTATTATTGATTAAAACCAGCCATAGGGACAATGCCCACATTTGAAACCCTCACGTAATCTTCTCCAAACCCAGTTTCTGATTAGCTGGGTTTGCACAAACGTCACCCTTCGTTCTCTTCAGCATCTACCCCTCAACCACAAAAAGCCCAGAATAAAATCAGAGCGCAAACCCTGGGTAAGAAGGGTTTTTTTAAATGCACTCAGATATTTACATATTTCTTTATTAGGGCTATAATTCCCCCATGCTATTTTTGCTATCTCTTACATCAGCAAAAATACCTACCACTGTACCGTGGAAAAAATAACAAAGATTTCTGCTACACCTTTCCACTCAGACCCTTCAAATCTAGCACTTTGCTGCATGAGTCAAGCACTCAGGAAACATGAGAGATGACTGGGACAGTGGGAGCAGCAAAAAGCAAACTATTCCTACATCTCCACACATGTAGTGCCAACGTGTGTGTTTATTAGCAGCAGCTTTCTTGGTACCAGCAGCCTGGGTGTGAAACACAGATGGATGCCAAAGAGCAGCAGCAGGAACAGCAATGGGGATGGGATGGGTGAGACCATCCTTGTGGTTTTGGGGCTGGAAGGAGAGGGGCTGCAGCCCCGCTGTTTCCCTTGCCAACACCCGTGTTATGTCCAGAGTGCCCTTCCATAATGTAAGGATCAAATGCCCATAGGATGCTCATGAAGCCATGGGGCGGCAGCTGGGGTCATCCTATTTGGCCCCATTTTGTAGCCCCTTAAAGCACTTAAGACCTGAAATAGTCTGGGCTTAGCTAGAGGTGTCCTGCCTGCCTACAGTTCCAGGAAAAGCAGCTTTTATTAGATTATCAGCTGGGAGGCACAGTGTGCCGTGGGGTCAGTGGGCCTGACCTCCATCCCTCATGGCACAGATAATCAAATGGTAGTGGGCAGGCTATCAACACCAAACTAGACACGTACATGGCAGTGAGAAACTGTAGGAGCATATGGAAAGGGACACTGGAGCACGCACACCCTTACAATGCTGTAGAGCTACATGTCCACAAGGCTTTATTCCGGCAACGCGAAGTCCTCTGGGCCTTCCACACAGAGGAGTAGACTTGCCCATTTTGAGGAACCATTGGCTGCCGTTCACTCCTCTGCACATTTCACAGTATCTTTTGGTTTTCTCTCAAAACAAGCCACCGAAGGACCAAAACAATGCATTTTGGCATGCTAGGGACCAGTCCTGCAATGCCAACACCTTCAGCTCTCACACAGGATACCCAGTGGCCAGCACTGCAAAGCACCACAGCAGCACCCTGCCCTCTCAACTTTTAGGGGGGGTGGGGGCTGCCCTGAGTAAGGCAAAGTCACCATCCAGGAAGCAGAAGGCAAAGGGGACACGCAGCCACAATAGCGAGGAGGAAGGAAGAGGGCAGAAGAAAAATGATGTGGTTGTGTGATAATACTGCAATTTGGAACTTTCAGAACACATCAGCATTTTATATACTAATATAACGGTAAATTAAAAAAAAAAAATAAAAAGAAAAGAAAAAAGTCTTCCACTTAAACTACTCATCTTTCTCTTGAAAACTTGTTTTTCCTCTGAAGTAGGTCCAAAAGCCTTGTGAAGACCTGGTTTGAGAGATCAAGGTCAACAATGGACAAGTGAGGAGTTTAACATCAGGGTCGCAGAGAGACCAGGGACAATTTCCTTGAGCTATTCCCAAAGTCCTGTGGAGGGAATGAGAACCTTGCTGCTATGGCAGTGGAAAAGGACATGGCTTTAAAGCTGGGTTTTGTTCAATACTTGCAGAGTTTTCAATTTCCTTGCAGAGAGTTGTTAGAAGGAGCCCAATCTAGGACTGGTTTAAGTGGCTGTCAGGCCATAGCAGGGGTCTCTTCAAAGAGAAGTCCGTGAAACCATAGAAAGGCAGCAATTTACCAAGAGAGATGACTGGTCATCTACTCAAAGTGCAACGGAGGCACCAAAGAAGTTTCAAAATCTTTCTGAAGTTCATGACTTCAAAGTGATCCTGCTTTTATAGGTGGGGAAATCCAAGAGAAGTGAAAGCAACTTTCCCCAGAGCTGCACGGTAGAGAGGATGGAGTTGGGGCATGTGGCTGGCACTCCAGGTGTGGGTCGTCCATGACAGAAAAACCAACAGCACTGCTGGCAGCGCTTAAGGAAACTGGTATGGGAAGAAGCTACCCTGGGGAGACACACAATGGACCGACCAAGATAACTCATTAACGAGATCACATCCCAGATTGCTGCCTACAAGGCAGGTGTCTCCATCTCCTGTATACCTTGGAGAGAAGTGAGAGCTACAGAAGGATGTTTCAGCTGGATGGATTTAGAGAGGTGGCTTTAGAGGGCTTCTGGGTGACCAGTTTGGCCACAGTGACCTCAGTTTTAGCCTGCGGCAGATGTTTGCCCCCAAACCTATGCAAGATCCCAGATGCTTTCACTGAGGTTGTGCTGTTTTGTACCAACATGTTGCTTTGTGCCACACTTCTTCCATGACAGTCATGGTGCTCATTGTCTCACTTTGCACCCAGGATGAGACCCACACATCTCTCAGTGGGAGGACAGGAGGGTGTCCTCTTCACCATGAGCACCAAGGAAGTTGTTCCCTCTGCAGAGGTGGCCTTGGCAGCAGCTTTCCTCCAAGTGGGAGAAGTCAATGCTGCCGAGACAAAATAACACACTCACACCGGGGCTGCGGGGAAGCAACAGCCATCATAGAATCACAGCATCCTTTGGGCAGGCAGTGCTCCCCAGTAGCGTCCCTGGCCTGGCCCATGGATGCTTCTTGAAAGACAAGTCCCAAGGTGTGGGCTGAGCTCTGCGATTCCAGGCAGTGGGGTGGCATGGCAGTCATTGCCCACACAACTAGTAAGAAAGGAGCATGACCAGCAGTTCCCTTTCAGACGTGCCCTCTTGATTCATACCCAGACACAGATTTTCATAGTGAAGCCCAGCTCTGACTCCATCTCTGAAGCGACGTGTTCGGGTTTCCCCCAGGACGCTGGGGTAGTTTTGTGAATCCCCACCACATCACCCCAGAAGACATGCATTTGCCTGACTGGTCCTCAAGCTGCTACAAGTTTCTGCTTTGGGTAGGAAAGGCGAAATAAACGTGGACTCGGCAAGAAAGGAGAACTTGACAGAGATACTGTAATCCCAGGGTTTCTGAATTGTCCTGGTGGTAGTCACGGCGGTTTTGATGTATGACTAATGTGTATATTGATACACACTGTGGTGTTTTCCCAGGAAGGAAAAGCTTGCAGTCAATTGAGGGTGGCTAATATTTATGCACACTGAGTGGTAATTCTGGAAAGAGAGAAGAAGATTGAGGACCTTGCCTGCGACTATATTTAAAGTTAACCACTTCCTGGATGCCAGTAATTCAGAAGAGTGGCCCTCATAGATCAATCTGTGGACTTATCCAGGCCGGCACCAACTGGCCATGTTAGAAACACCCTAACAGCTTCTGTATGTTCTGCAGCAGCTGTACCTTCACAGACAAGAGTTTGATTTGAGTAATTTTTGATTTCTGTTACTTTTATTAGATTTTAAAATAATCTTTACCTCCACTGGATCCTCCAGACATCCTTTCCATATACCTAAATCAGACACCCACAAAAATGTGGTGCAAACACTGTGGCAGGACACAATTGTTCTGCTGTGTGGCTTTGCTGTGCTTCTGCAGCCACTAAACTGCCTAAAAAACATGTAATTTAGTGGCATCACATCATAGAAAGCCTCAGGCTAGTTCAGCAACATCAAAGATTTCCTTGAAGACACTGAAAAACAGGTGATGGGAAACTAGAGGTGAGGTAGGTGAGGAAAGAAGAGAGCTCGTGCTTTTTGGCAGAATGAAACTGGAGGTTTTACATGCCTGAGCCCCCTCTGAAAGATGAGGATGGAAAACCTGTCACAGCATCTCCAAACACAAGCCAGGGATGGAGAGAGAACTTGGTCTGTAACAACAAGGCAGCTTCAGAGATGAGTAGAAAATGACCTGAGGTAAGTGGAGCAGGAGGAAAAAAAGACCACCATCTTTTCCATGTTTGACCAGCACAGGCAGAAACTCAACTCTGATGTAAATGCTGTGAAGATGCCATCTCTCCTGAGGATGTGCATGCTCCACAAACTTAAGGATTCACAAGAGGCTGTGTTGGAGACATCTGTAAGCAAACCTCTCAGCCACACAGAAACCACTACGTTTGTTTCGAGAGAAAGTGAACTTTCGGCACACCCCTCCTTTCTCCACAGCTCACCCAACACTCCTTGCAGGAGAGGTAAAAACTGATTTTCTTAAAAAAAAAATAAAAAAATTACCCCCCTCAAAAAACCCCAACTGCAGTAAGTTGTCACCATTGTGGTTTGTGGTCCATCATCTGCTTCAGAGATAAAGAAGCCTCCTGCCGAAACCTGAGGGAGAGTTGCACCCACACCTGTTTCAGCACTGCATGAAAACCTGGGCAGAGACACCCAGGACCTGAGCAAAGCGTTGGATTCTCTCTTATCATACAAAAGTGTGTCTCAGCAGCTTCATACAGTGCCCAGTTGCCAGCCCAGGGCTCCTTCCAGCCAGCTGGGATGTTCTCCGTCCCCTTGTGCCTCCCATACCTCGAAAACACATTCCCAACGAGTCTGTTTTAATTTATTGATGTATGAAAAGAACTTCTTTAGCCCTTTTTCCTCTGATGTTCTCCTGGTTGCATTTTAAGAAGAATTGTTCCCTTTGTGCAATTGTCGTTTCTTTCTTCCCAAAATTTACTAGCCCAGATCTGCAAAAAATAGCACCGACGCAAGAGTACAGCCCAGGGGAAGGGGACAACTGATCAGG